GAGAGAGAGAGAGAGAGAGAGAGAGAGAGAGAGAGAGAGAGAGAGAGGTACAGTGATTGAAGAAAAAAAGTAGTGCTTATTTTTAAAAAGTAAAAATTAACACAAGTAGTAAATTAGTTATCACATGTAAATAAATACTTACTTACCAGAGGAAATTTAATGAAGCAAGATGACTGTGAGAGAAATACATCCATGATTCAAGGATGTATCCCATGATCTTCCAAAGCAGTGTAGATCTGTGAGCTGCAGGAGAGTAGGAGTTGGAAATACTCAATAGTTCCTGGTGGCATCTAATCAAATGAAAGCCACTTACTGGTGAGGCCAAGAACCCAAAAGAAAGGATGCAATTTTTTTTTTCTTTTTTACTGAGAATGGGTAACAGTGGGAACCTTTCCTATGATGATCCTCAGACGAACAAATTTACAGAACTGCATGTCCCCACACAGTGTGGAAAGACAGAAGCTGGGTAACCCAAGAGAACAGGATAAATAAGACAAACAGATCTGCAAAGAGAAGTAAAAAGATGTGTTGGAAACAGGGAGTAGACAACTAGTGAGCTAGGCTGTAGTCATCCCCAGAGAGCAGCAGCACTGATTTAGGCTGCTGGGGATGATCCAATGAGAATTCAGGAGAGCGCCGCTTTGGAAATCCTGCAGGATCTTCCCCCTCACAGTTCTTTTCAGAGTTTACCTGCGCTGAGAACGTTATCATTAGGATTAACAGTATTCCATCAGTGCATTTCACTAGCACGTCCCTGGAACCTTTTCCCTTTCAGGAACTGATACAGGGCATAGGGAGAAAACCTGAAATAACACACACTCCGGAATAAACCAGCAGGACCGGTCCCATTGCTTGATCTAATCCTCAGCGATTTTTGTATAGACATGGGCTGGGAGGTGAATGGTTGAAGGTCGTAGTCACTCAGAGTTTTCGAGGGCGCTATGCTTTGGAGGGTTAGCAAGAGGACCCAGAAGTGGGTGATGGGGTTCCGCGGCGGCGGCAGCCCTCCTCCTAAGTCCCACTTCCTTGTTAAATCATGCTGCCTGCGTTTAAGGCATTTGCTTTCAGTCCTGAGCCCCTGCGCCAGGACCTTGCTCCAAGAAGCTAGATTTTAGGGCAGTCAGAAAACTGTCCCTGGTCCCTTGGGGGAGGGTTAGGGGTGCACGAGTGGCCGCTTGTGCCATGTCTGCCTTGCATTTGATTCCAGCAGTTACCAAGCTAAACTAGAGAAAGAAATAGCTTTGTTGTGGATTTCATTGTCGAGCCATTTTCGTGTCCTGATACCGCATAAACGATCACCTGATCACTGGATCGATTGGGTAAGATTATCCTGATCTCTTCTCCCTTTCCCTTTTTGTGACCACTCCCCTTTCCCGTTCTCTTCCTAAACCTATTCCTTAACCTTTCTTTCTCTGCTTCTTTTCCTCTCTCCTCTTCTTTTCTCTTTTCTCTCTAAAATCTACTGCCACTGGGGAACTTGCCTGTTTGACTGAGCAGCTGATAACACTGTAACCGATTTGTTTGTTTGTTTTTTATTTATTTGCTTATTTATACCACAGAATGAACATCACCTCCTTGCTAAAAATACTTTGTTTGGAAAGATTCTGGGTCCTCATCTTTAGAGATTCTCTGAATGATCCAGACGCTGTGTAGAGAGTACAGTCAGGTAGGAGAGTCTTTAGCTCTGGATTCCAGCTCAGTCTTGCTGAAGCTTACAAATTATGTATCTGTCTGTTTTAGAAATAAGAGGAGAAGGTAACCTGGAAATCGATTTACTTGCTGTAGAAGCTGAGTTGCTGAATGGTGGAAGGGTTAATCTTTTACTGAGGATAAAAATGTTCTTCATAAGTAATCTTATTTTCTGCGGTTGAAAAGGCAACACATTGCTTCTCAGTGACCCATCCCCCACTCCATTCATTTATATCCTTTCTGTATGTAAATCACGGAGGAGCTGGGTCACTGGAAATTTTCTTTTCCTCTTTCCTCGGAGAGTAGAAGCCTACAAATGTGAAGTTGGGGGGGGGGGGCTGGTGGCACATTGGAAACAATATCAACACTTTAAGGTCTTTTCTATCTTGTCTAAAAATACTCACAGGTAAAGTATCTTTGGTTTCTTAAGGATACCTCTCACTCTTAACTCTTTCTTTTCTGGATATGAAGTGAATTTTGGGGTTGCAGTCCATGTTAAATATACTTTGAGTACACTTTAGCTAGCCCTGTTTTAAGACTAATACTGTTTCAGTCATCGTAATAATGATTTTGGTTGTCTCTTCCCGTTTTACAGGAAAGATAATACTAGAAATCTTTCATTAAATGTACATCTTAGTTCCAATTCCTATATCTGATCCACTGTCCCAAGTGAATATTAGCTGTTCATGATAAGACTTTCTGGCTTACCAAGAGTCTATAGCACCCCCACTTGTGAATGGTTATCTTGAAGGGAGGGCATGTACAAACTTGTGAAGAAGCTGGGTAGCTCTTGATAGTACTGTTATTATATTCTGCTAAATGTGGAAAATAACAAATCTCGATACTGGTATGAACTTGGATTACTAGTGCAAGCTGACTATTTTGTACCCGAAATATCACAGGATGCTGTCAAATGGAAAGCATTGCAATTTTGAATTACCAAATACATTTCACTGACAAACTATGTATATTATTTTTTCCTCTGCTATTAATCCCTGTAATAGTTAATCTGTTAACCTGTTGTTAATAAGTGTAGTACCTTATTTCCAAATTTCAATAAAAAGATAAGCTCATTAGTGTAAATATACATGTCCTTTGCCAACGTGAGGACTTGAGCCTCAACAGAAATATATACTAAAATTCTATTAATTAAAAACAAATTTCTTTTATGATAATAATCATTGTAGAAATCAGTATTATAACTTAAAGAAAGAAAGCTAAGTGTCGTGCAGCAGAAACAAATCGAAATATGCGTGCTCAAGTATCTATAGTGTTTATTACTATCAGAGTGTTAAAGGCAAAAATTTAGTAAGGACATGGTGATATAACTTTCCTTTTTCTTTTAAGGATGCACACCATCTTGAATGTTATGACAAGGTAGAAAATGTCTTTGGTGTCTCATTTTCTAACAAAATGGATTATTTCTGTGTTTATCTCTGTACTTATTACAGAGGCTGACAAATTCTGCCAAGAAGACATGAGGCCACATAAAGAGCTGATATCAACATCTTGCGATATTCACTACCAATACAGCTTAACAATTGTGTCATGTATAGTCCATACTTTCTTTCCCTGAGAGCCACAGAATGTTGGCCAAGGACACTTACCTATCTGACAGTTAAGATGAATGTGCTGTTTATTTAGGACCCAGTCTGACTTTTGTCAGACAATTGAAACAAAGTTTTATTTTCTAGGCATCCACAGTGATGAACTCTGGTATTCTGTATTTGTAGCTGTGTAGAACTGAGGCCAGCTTAGACTATGTAGTAACATCTTGACTCAACAAGCAAACAGTGTGTATATGTGGTGTGTATGTGTGTGTGTGTGTGTAATGTTCTTAATTTTGTTTAAAAGAACAAGAAAAGAAAATTCATTTTATAAGACTTAAACATTTAGAAAAGTTTTATAATTTTCCAAGTATTAATTTACATCCATGAATAAAATATTAAACTATATGATTACTCAATTATACTTTCATGTAATGTCATGGACATTGTGTTCCCTGTATTCTGTCTTCAGAGCAAATATCTATTTTACAATGCCTTAGGTATATAAGATATTTTAGTTTCAAGCTGAGAGGGTAGGTAGCTTCTTTCATTTCAGGGTACTCATCTGAAACTATTCATTTAGTGGACTTCACGCTAGTGATGGGTGTTCTTTTCCTTCTTGTCTTATCTTCTGTCATAGCTACAAATCAAAATATTTCACATATTATCTCACTAAAAAGTCTGCCAAAATTCAAATGATTTAATGCTAGAGATGGATTGTAGCATTAAAGAATGTTATGCATATAGCTGGATCTCTAGATTTGCTGTTCAGAGCAACCCCCCCAAAACAGACGTATATTCATATTATTGTAATTCTTTTTATATTTTGTGTGTGTGTGTGTGTGTGTGTGTGTGTGTGTGTGTGTGTGTGTGTAGTACAGAAGTTCACATGGAGAGTCACTTTTTTCCACCATGTAGGGTTCCAGGATTGATCCTAGCTTTGGAGCTTGGATGTAAGAATTCACCCTGCTGTGCTGTTTCACTATTGCCCACAAAATATTTTATTACAGAAATCATGTTGCAGTTTTCTTATAAAGAAAATATATGTCAGATTATTTTTAGTATTAAATCTAATTTATGATAAAATATAAAATTAAGAACCCATTAAGGAAGAGTTTACGTATATATACATGTATATCAACTGAATATATAAATATGAATATATATTATTGCTTAAATATGAAAGAGTTATATTTGAAATAAACTTATGCATGCATATTTGTCCTCACTACGATGTGGAAATTTACTCACTTTAGGCTCCTTGCTGTTTACTTTGTCTTCAGAGCTTTCACATTGAAAGTATCCAAAGTTGCTTTAGTACCTCTGTGTGTAGTAATATTCACATTTGATTTTATAAGATCAAGGTACTGTTAAATAAAGTGATTCAGTGTATTTGAATCTCAAGTAAAAACGTTTTGGAACTAGCCAGTTTATCAAGATAATTTACTCAGTTCTTTGATACTAATGAAGAAACTAAGAACTAAACGTGACTAGGTTATTATCAGCATATGCCAACTCATGATTTAAGGAATCTGAGATGCAGTTTTCTGGACTTTTCAGCTACTGTGAATTATATATCTATTAAATCCTTCAGTAGTTAAAACAGGAGGCATCATTTGAGATTATGATAAAGAATCAGTGGAAGGAAAGAATAACACTACAATGACCAATAATGTGCAGCTAGCTATGTCAGAACATGTAGGAAGCTACTGTTTATATTTCTGCTCCAACGTACACTATAGACACTTCTCTGCCCTCCCTCATATGAAGTGAAAAATTTAACATCATAATCCTGATTTCTTATGGAGTGCCTTCAATTTTCTTTCTGTTCTATGTTTTATCTATATGTTAAACTACCTTTAGACTATTTTGCCCTTACACTATAAACTATGGAAAGTCAAGCTATATGTAATACCCCATTAAGCCACAGTTAATTTACTTTGTAAATTTCTAATCTAGATAGAAAATGGGACTTCTACAAAGAGAAAAGCAATCTATTAATCCTCATATAAAAGGCATATGACCCAGAAATTTTCTTATAATCAAAAAATGCAGAACAATACATATTCTATTAAAAATAATAAAAAAAACTTTAAAGTTTATACAAAATAACAAAGGCTTAGTCATTTAAAATTTCTTAATTTTCTAAAATGCAGAAATCCATAAAAATTTATTTTAATCTTTTATATATGTCAACATTTGAGTATTTTATGCAATTATTTATATATTTATTTATTCATTCAGTAAATCTAAAGTGAATATGAGTGTCCAAATCGATTTATCAAATGTTCCTTTTTAAATACATAGGAAAAACCCAACAATAACAACAACATCAAAAATAACAAAAATGAAATCT